AGGAGGAGGAGGAGGAAGAGGGTGGGAGAGATCACCCCTCCACCCACCTCCTCCTCACTCCTCTTCATCGTTTTCTCTCAATGGAAAGCTCCCAATTGACTGTATTCATGCGCACAAAAAGGGAAAAAGGGGGGGATTTAAAGAGACTGCTATCACTCAAACAGGGGTGATGCTGCAGACCCCCCCCCCCCCAAAAAAAAGGAGCTGGATCCGACTCCTCATTCAGCTGCAGGCGTGTTTATGTGTGTCAGGATTGCTGCAGCTGCTGAACACTGGTGATCAATATAAAATACTATATAATGCAAGATTACAAGACACAACTAAAACAATTCTGCTTATTTAAATCAATGCAATTTCCAGGAATCTCCATGTGCTTTGCATTCTGGATAATTAGTGGATTTTCCAAAGCTGATGAGGCGAAGGTTACAAAGATGACTCTGCACGGCTGAATTATATAAAGTTCAGAGAAATGACACATGACGTCGTGCTGTAGTCTAAGCTGAAGCGCCGATAGGTCCAGCTGTCGCAGATGTGGTCCACTAACCCTGTAAATTACATAACTGTGCCATAATGCAGATAGCTTTACTGCCCGAGGAGGAGAGTGAGCTGCACAGAAAAAAAACCTTTTCCAGTGAGAGTGTATGTTAGTGATTTTTAAGATGAGGTTATTTGGTGTCTGTTGAAGTGACGTTTGATCACTCGCAGAGGAATTATAGCTTTGGGATGATGGTCTATTAGTATTTAATCCCACAAAGGACACAAACATTTCTCTTGTAACTGCGGCTTTCTGTTACAGTCGTGGAAAGTACTGTATACTGAGTATAAGTGTGAGGTACTTTCCAGTATTACTTTTTTGTGCTACTTACTTAAAGGGAAATATTGTACTTTTTNNTACTTTTTACTCCACTACAATTATTTAATCATACTATATGTATAGATTATACAAAATAAACAGTTTCCAGCTTCTTAAATGTGAGGATTTGCGGCTTTTCTTGTGTTTTAACTGAATATCTTTGGAGTTTTTCGTCAAACAACAACAAAATATTCTGATAGCTGTCGGCATTATTTCACTATTTCACTACATACTAATTGATAATAAGAATAATCTTAGTAGTTTTCTCCAACAGTGTATAAAACAGTCAAATAAGCCTCAACCATCAGTAATAACCAATAATATAATTTTATACACTCACTGATGTTGTTTTCTGTATTAAGAGTAATTTTACTTTGTAGCATTTTGCTGATGATACATGCTTTTACTTGAATAATAATTTAAAAGCAGTATTTTCACTGTTGTAATGCAACTTGTAGGACTGCAACTATTAATTTATCATTAATCTGCAGATTATTGTTCCCCTTTTGTCTATTTTCTGACATTTGACAATAGGAAACATGTCAATGTTTTTGCCAGCCAGCAGTCTAAAACCCAAAGATATTCAGTTTATTGTCAAATAAGACAAAGAAAACCATCAAACCATCACCATCAAAGAAGCTGAAAACCAGTAAATGTTCCACCAAATGTTCTCAAAAACATCTACTTCAAGCTAGCTCTGCCAGCGGAGGGAAACTCCTGGGTTTTGTCCCCCCCGGTTCGACATGTGACAGTCATGTATTATTTTTAATGGAAGTGAGCCGTCACAGGACCGGTAGTTCTTGTAATGTCGAAAGAGGAAGTTAAGTGCCTTATCTGCGGTGTAGGGCCCGAACAGAAAACTGGTGTGGAGCCAGCTGGTAGGGTATCATGTCTTACTCTGGAAATCTACCTGAGCAAACACTCACAGCTCAACTTCAGCTCTGTTTACACACAGATACACACACGGATCCGATTTCCTGACAGCGACACCTCTCCAAGGCTTTGTGCAGGGCTTTTTTTTTTTTCTTCTCCTCATGTAGTCTCTATTCAAGTGTATCATGTTATCATCTCTGGTAACTTGTAGAAGGATAACTTGGGGCAGTTCCCTCGAACAGTGTTTGATTTGCATTTTCTGTTGTGATGGAACAGAAAGTCAGGTGCTGTAGAGCCAAACAACAGCTGGTTGAAGGAGCATTTCCCCTTTTTCTCTAAATGATCTTTCTCTGCATAAGAAAACCGACACAATGATGATGAAGTGTGAAAGGAATCTCACACTAATACGTCAGTCCGATTAGAGCCTTTCCTGTTTTGAAAGATAAAAAATGATCTGTTCTGAAGACGGTTTCACCACAAATGAGCTAAAACATGCATCAGAGATGGTATCACTCCCAGTTTCTCTCTCTCTCTGTAAATGTCTTTCTCGTAACAGATTAATCAGGGGTTTTATTTAGCAACTTCACAAGCGCTGCCCTGCTTTTCTATCGCTCTGGTCCAGTCGTGTGATTGACGCTGTGCAGACAGGCAGCCCTTCCATGACAAGCAGTCATGTGAGTCACCTGCCGCCACATCTACTGAAAGCCCCTTTCAGCTCTTGCAGGGTGCCTTCGATCATAACTCCCCAGCCTCAGCTGGGTGCCTCATGACTAAAGGCTCTTTTCTGGGGCTGCAGGTTGACATGTGAATAGCATTTGACAATTAACCCCAGTTTGTGCCTCTGGCGTTACATTTGAGAGGAGATTTCTGAAAAACTAATACCAAACCATATTTGAAAAACCCTAAAGGTTGTTCTTAATGTATTTAAGAATCCTTAAACCTGCAGTAACTGTTTTTTTAGGCAGGTGAACAAATATAATCAAATTTTTAAGTTAATATGTTAACATAGTTGCTTATTTTCTCATCCAGCTGTGACACAGCAACATTATAATTCCTTTGGAGTCGTGTTTCTGGCCTCCTGTTGAATGGAAGTCCGATTCTCTTTTAGCTATATTTTTGGTCTCCACCCACTCCTGAGGGGGAATATTTGGCTCTTTAGCTGCTAGAATCTCCACTATGTTCACCAGATACTTGATGAATGTGTCCGTCTGTCGCTGAGCGGGTAGTGTAGTGGTTTTTAGAGCGTTTTATCTGCTGTGGGTGAATAAATGCTCTGAGAGCGATGAGAGTGAACCAGAACAGTAAAGTTGTGGGTCCGACAGATAAACAATGAGCTCTGTAAAGCAGAGAGGAGCTGATTTCTCTGTAGGTTCGTCACTACAAGCGACCCATTCCACATTGTCACATTGTTCTTACTTTCATTTTCACTTATTTGTACTATTATTATACTTATTGTAACAGTATCAGTATACATTTGGTGGCACTATGCTTAAATAAAAGTAAAAGTCCTGAATACAAAATGTTACTTAAGTAAAAGTACAGAACTATTATCAAGAAAACAGGCATTAAAGTTTTATAAGTACTCAGGGCTCCTGTCAAAGTTTTATATTATTGTATAATATTATATAATTCTGTTTTTATCACTAAAGAATTCATGTAGGAGCATCTTATTTTTGCCACTGTGGAGCCAATTTTAGACTTTATTTGTATACTAAAGTGCATTATATTATATGTTTTTTAAATGTAAGTGTCATATAAATGTAGTGGAAGTATAAAGTGGTGTAAAATAGAAATACTCAGAAATACTACAGTATTCTACTTGAGTGAATGTACTTAGTTACATTCCACCACTGTATAATGTGTGTGTGTATATATATCAATATAACTGATTAAAAAAAATATTCCAGTTCATGTCTAAATTGAGCAAAGAGAACCCAGAAGTTTAAAAAGTCTTAATGGATTCTGGAAAATCACTTCAGAGCAGTCGTAAGTATTATTAAATGACATTCTGGGTTTTTCAAAAATTGCCGGATGTTTATTTGTCAGAAAATTGGACGTTTAACTCCAGAAGAGAAACTAGATTTCTACCTGCCCTGCTGCTTGCCTCCAGCGTAGTGGGTGGGAGGCAGCAGAAGGTGGATGAATGAGTCACACAGGTCCTTAGTGGCCAAATGTAGGGCTGGCAGGAAGGCTGTTGGCTAATGAACATGGAGGATCTCTAATTACAATGTGGGTCTTGTTGACCAGCTCTTGCTGGCCTTGTGTGTTTCACACCCACACAGCTCAACTTCATCAGCCTCTGATCTCACTCGAGAGCAAAAAATCGCTGCAAAAAACATTCACATTTCTTTTCTCTCCAGTTCCTCTTTTTGTTGTCTGAACTGGCCGCCTGCATCATCCTGTCTTTGCATTGCTCATACAGAGAACCGCAGAGATGCAGACAGGAGGTGGTGGTCCGGTCCCACCACGTCGCAGTGCAGCCTCAGGCCCCAGCGAGTGGAAGCAGGTTTCTGGCTCATGAAACCAGTTAGTATTACAACCGTCTTTGTTTCCCTCCTGAATTCCCAGGCAGGAGATGAGATGTGTGTTGTTTTTTTAAATAATTTTGCTCATCTTCCACGGGGATTAGATGGCTGCTCATGCGCCTGCTTCATCACAAATCTTTGCTCTCTTATGTGATGACTCAGACACACACTGCTGCCAAATTATTACAAATGATGCATTACTTTAATTTGCTGCCAAGCAAGAGGGATGATCCTGCCTATTTTGAACCGCAAAGCCTCTATTAATTATATAAATGTGACTGCTATTAGTGCTATAATTATTATCATGATAGTAAGATGAGCTTTGGACTGAAGTGCTCTGGTATTACCTCCAGTCTATTTCTGCTGTTACTGCGGTGCTGTATGTGACTTATACAGCAGGCTTCCTGTGCGTTACTGACACTATAACAGTTCAGTCAAGAGGAAGAAGATAAAAAAAAAACATTTTCATTCAGAACGCCAGTCATTCACTAACCGCACCTCACATGTAAGCCAAACAGCATGAATCAGTGGACAGTGGTGACTTCCGTTATTGAATGCAGTTCCTGTTTCACTGTTTCGTGGCCTGCATTGTGCTGATATAAAATATCACGGGGGGGGGG